AAGGGGTCCCTGCTTGTGGCAGGGGGTTGGAACTGGATGAACTTTAAGGTCCCTTCAACACAAACTATTCTGTGATTCTAAGAGGTAGGACAGGGATATTCTTTTATAGGTTTAGTTTGTAAAACAAATGTACTGTAGACTTGAACAACCTACTCTCCAGTAGCACTTGGTGGCAAGTATTATAGCACTTCACTTGATAATGGCCAATAGTGCAACTCTGCTCCTTGTTCAACAAACCCTTCCACATTTTGACATTTGAGGGTGGCCTTTTCAAAACACACCTGGAAATGAAATGACTTGCCCTCACGGCAAACCACTAGGAATGGGGCATTGAGCTTCCTAAAATACTTTGGAAAATCCCACCCATAATGTTTACTCTAATACTGGAGTTAAATGTGTCTATTCTTAATGATTACTCCACAGTTCTCTGTTGTGCTCCCTGAATGAATGGCTCTTTCCTCTCCTGCAGCTAATACTCCATGCATATTTATATGGAATCATGTTCCCTCTTAAATGCTGTTTGTTTTGGCTCAGAACACCAACTCCTTAGTTTAACTTGCCCTTGTAGGTTATTTTTGCAAGGCTTTATATTGTTTGTAATTCCCTTGTTATTGTCTGCGTCTTTTTGCATTGGGAAAAAAAAAGGAAAAGGTATTTTTCCAGGTTTTGCTCTATTAGTGGGTGCCCAGTAAAGAATAGTGTCTTCTGGGAAGTCCTCCTAGGTGGGCTGCCTGTGCCAGACCAGATTTGGCCTTGCTCCCAGTTACCTTTTATTAGGAACTCTAGGCAAGACTTGCATCAGTTTAATTCAGCATTAAGTTTTTACCTCAGCTTGCTATGCCTCGTTACCTCTGGGTAGAGGAGGAAGAAGAATGCTGCAGGGATGAAACACATTTATGGGCATCATGTAAAGACATCTATGGATACTACACAGCGAGGTGGGTGCACACAAGGTGTTGGACATTTCCCCCATTATCCCCCTCAGGGAGGGGAAGCACTTTAAGAAACATGAAGACAGTTCTCGATGAACTTCCCAGAAGCCCAGATTTCAACCTGCATCCTTCAGCTGATGGAGATCTGGAGCATGGTTAATTTATAAGAACAAGTAGTAAAATTAATGGCATTCCAGGATTTCAGACTGTGCTTTCTGGTATTACTCCATAAATGTGCTTTTGTAGAAAAAAGTAAATTCCACTACATATTTCTTGCTTGAAAATCTACCCCAGCCTTTTCTACAAGTGAGCCTGAGCACCTGTTGCTTGTCTCTACAGCTGGTGGGCAAGAAAATGTGAAAGAAAATAGAGTTTATGCTGAAGATGGACTTGAATATGCAGTACCTGCTTATGCCCTTCCTTCTCCATTCACTTGGAAAATTTCAAGCTCTCTTTATCGACGAAATGGGGAGGGAATGGGGATTTGGGATGGACAGCAAGCTGGCTTGTGCATTCAAGCTTGCGTCTAGGCTGATAAAATGGATCCAAACTACCCCTGTTGATTCTAAATCTCAAATTCAAGTAAAAGGGAAAAAAAATAAATCAGTATTTATAAAAATTTGTCTGCTGTCATTTACAACATGCTTTGTAAGATAATGCCACTGGAGTAATTTTAACTCACATTTTAAGTGTCAGAAAGAACACATTAATGTTGTACTGTTTACTGTAGTGGTGAAGTGAAGGGAAGTATCTCGGAGTGTGGGCAAATGCATTACTCAACAGCATATGAAATGTGTTCACCTTCCACACAGGTGATACAAAACAATAGCTGCAAATGCAGCAGAGTACAGCAAGGCTGTGGGTGCCGTGAGGAGCAAAGTGAGTGAGAAATGCTGGTGAGTAAAACCCAAATGTGTCCTTGTTAATATCACCAGTTCACCAATGTGTGCTCTCCCCTTTTTTTCTCTCCCCTTTCCCCCATTTTTCTCCCCTTTTTCCCCTTTTCCTCATGTTTTTTTCTTTTTTCCTCCCCACTTCCCTCACTTTTCCCTGTTTTCTCACCTCCCACCCCCTTTTTTTTTTTTAATTTTATTTTATTCTTTTTGCTTTCCATGTTTTTCCCTCGTGACCCCTTCAGGTCTGGCCGTTTGACGGCTAACTCAAAATTGCCTGGTCTCCCCTTTCACTTGGGGCCACGGCGATCAGTGTTCTTCCATGAAGCGCATCGCTGCGTGTGGTCAGCACAGCCTCTGGTCTGTGTGAGCTGCTCCAAGGCAGCTTGTATCATTCAATAAGTTCTCTGCTGTGCCAGGGGAGTTTGCAAGTCATCCAAGGGATCAGCATCTTGCTCTCACACTGGTTCTGTAGGGGATGTTGCTCTATGTTGGTGACAACCGGGTGGAAATCCAGCCTTTCAGCTCCGTGTGCAGATTTTGTGGAGAAAATGTGTCACGTTCACTTGTGATTATGGGCACAAATCCCCTCAATGCCATAAAAATCCACTGAAATTAGGGGAGGCACTATCTGTGAGGATGAACAAAAGGCAGAGGTACACCTTGTGCCTGTATAAATAATAAAGCTGTCTTAAAAGGGAAAATAGGTGGGTATGAGATACAGTCTGACTTCCAGCTTGAGAAAGGAGCAGAACCTGATGCTGTGCATGATTCCAGGTGTATGCCAAGGCAAAGAGGATGCTGCACATTGTCTGCATGTGCTGCGGTACCAGTGCCAGATACTCACAAGCCTTTGTAGACTGAGGTTCAACCTGTTCTGTCAGATGTGTTTTGTGTCTTCTGGAATTGATGCTATTTATCTCAATGGTTGTACTTTGGAAATTTATTTTTTTTTATCTTGTGAAGCATGTGATTAGTTTAGCATAATTAAGTGAAATAGGAAGTTTGCTTTGGGTACTTCCTAATGAACAATTTGACTTTTAAAGTAATAACTGTTCCTATCTTGTATAAATAAGGCTGGCATATTGGTGTCTATGAAGTCAGGTGACTTTTGAGGAGCAGACACTGTTGTGCCTTAAGGAATGTGTTGGGTCTGTTGAAGTGTTTTATGGAGAGCTTTGGAAATGGAAACTGCATTGATGCTTGTGGATGATTCTTATAATGCTTTTACAGCAAGGCACACCCATGCACGAAATACAGTTGTGGCTCTTCCTCTGTAGGTTTAACAGAGAAGAAGCAGCAGCACACACGTTGAAGGTGGAAAGTAAGGCCAAGCTTGGCTTTTGTGCTGAGCACTGCTTTCGGATAGAACTACCTTCAACTCATAGGCAACAGCTTTGTAGAAAATGGGTTATTTACCAAAAAATCTCTGTGCCAAGACAAGGTCTGCACTAGTAACATAGCAACTGCAGGGCTCAGGAAAAAGGCAAGCAAATAATCCATTAACATGCAAAGAGAACTTGTTAATTCCAGTCTAATTATATGTACTAGCCACATGAAGAGCTGACTTGAATGTGTGCCTGTAGTTATTCCAACCCCAAATCTTGCTTATTACTACTGCTCACCTAATGAAAACAAAGGAAGAATGTAGTGTTGAGACTTGTGTAGTCTAGCCAACGTTTGAAGAAATTCATTAACTGAAAATCTGAGTGTAGATGTAAGAAAACAGACAGAGCATGGAAAGCTTGTGGTGAATAGTATCACAGAATCCCAGATTGGAAGGGACCTCAAGGATCATCTGGTCCAACCCATCCTGGCAAAGCATAAACTAGACTAGATGACCAAATCTTAAACTATTCATGAATTTAGAATATTTTTATTAAAATATTATTTCTTGTTCTCTGTCACAATTCTGTCTGCATGTATTCAACAAATTATCTAAACTCAGACCATGATAATCTCCATTTGTTGCTGAGGAGGCCCTAGAGCAGTTTGCAGAGCTGTCAGGATGGTCTCCTTTTGGTTTTATGTGTTTGGTGGTTTCTTATTTTGTTCATGCTTTGTATGTGTCTGTTGGTTCAGTCCAAGCTGTAACTGTAATTCTGACCTTGCATGTAGTGAAATCTTCAGGTACAAGGTTACAGCAATGGAGCTCTCTTGTAGGTATTTCTTGGGTTTAGGAAAAAACAGTGCATCACTCAGGGAGCTGTAGGTAGCTTCATCTGTAGCTGGAGGTGTATCAGCCCCATGATATAGATCGGCTGCAGGAGCCATGCCCATATCACTCACAAGAAGAGGAACAGCATTGTATAGAAGAAAGATCATAAGGATAATGCTTTTTAAGAGCTGCTCTGCTATATTTACACAAACAAAGATATTACTGAATATCTTTGGTAATAACTTACAGATTCCTCAAAACACATATCCCATTGGTGTTTTCCAGTATTTTCAAATATTCTGTATCCATTTTTTCCCTGCATGATGCTCTTGCTGTTACTTGCTCTGCTGGAAGAAGTTTAGTCTTGCTGCCCTTAGATAAAAACAGAGAGTTAAGCGACTGTTTCCTTCAGTGTATCACCAGATTTTCTTCACCATTATTTACTGTGATTTATATTCAAGTGCCTTCTAAGAGTTTTTTTTCCTCCTGCACATGAGTCTCTTTTCCCTTAAACTGGATTTAAGCAGGTAGGACTTACTCCAGCGAGCACCAGGATTAATCTGCCTCGTCTGCAAACCTGTCCCACAGCTCTTACAGGCAGAAGACATAAAGAGAAAGGGTTTGGAAGAATAGTCAAGAGCTACAGTTACAGGGTGGAACAATGTGCCATGTGTAGATTATAAAATAGCTGTGCACAACGTACAGACAGTAAACCCCAGTCTGACTTGGGTCTTCGCTGTGGGTTTGAAGGGGTGATGAATCTCATCCATATGCAAGATCTTCTCTTAATGCCTTTGAGTGGTGACCTCAGCCAGAGGAACACCCCCAGAGCACAGCGGGTATCGCCTCAGGCAAGAAGTCCATGCAAAGGAAGGCCAGGAGTAGTTTGAATCTTACAGTACAGCAATATGCTGAGTGTTTTATGCTTCACCCCTTTGATACTTGTTTTTAAACCATCAGGCTGGATCTTGAGACTCTCTAATGACATACTGGCATGCTTTCTTTCTTCCTCACCAGGCTGGAATGATAAGAACTGATAAGGATGAATATTTCATTGAGCCTTTGGAAAGAGGAAAGCAAATGGAAGAAGAAAAGGGGAGAATCCACATGGTGTACAGGCGATCAGCTGTAGCGCAGCATCCCACCGATACACTCCCTGATGTCCATAGACAAGGTACAGTGCCTGTGTTGGTTGCTCACAGATCTATTCCAGGTAACTCTAGCCTGCAGCAGCTTTTGAGAGAGGCAGTTTTGAGTGAACTGTTTGAAAAGAAAGCCTTTAAATGTTTTGCTAAGATCCATCATCAGTCACATGTGCAGTTTCTCTGCCAAGAGCAGCGCATGTGTAGGAGAACAGAGCTCAGCCATGAAGTGTTCTTATCAAGAAATGTTGCAAAATGCTTGTTTTTATCTTCCTTGAGCTGAGAGAAGAGCTTGTACTGATTTAAGTCTGAGCTCTACATCAGTTGGTAAGATGTGGTGGGCCATGAGATGTTAATGGGAATACTCATCTGACTTCAATGTTGTAAGCTGTTACTATGGCTTGCCTGCCCGTACAACTTCTGTTTAAAGTTTGGATGCTATTTCTTCATCAGTGGTAGCCAAATTGTCCCAATGGCTGACACTGTCTGTTTTCCTGCTTCTGCTGATTGAAATTAATGCAGTTGGAAGGCAGTTGTGTTGGTCAGACGATGTACTTTAGACATATCCAAGGATTCCCCCCTCCTTGAAGATGATGTGGTTGGTCCATCTGAGAATTATCATTGTGTAGTTTAATGCATTTGCTTGTATATTTAGATCCGCCCCCCCCTTAATATTATCCTTTAATCCTAAATTAATTGTTACAAGCCAACACATTGCATAGTGAATGTTGAGGGTTTTGACAGTATGGGCCAGGAATGAAAGAGCAGCTCCATTCTCCTTAAGTGCTCTGCCTTTTTTTCAACATCTTTCAGCTTCTCAAATCCCTATTTGTACTTTGTGTTCACATGTTCTTGGGAGTTAAAAGGCTTTGAGAAGAATTAGAGCAACCACATACGACACAAAAAACTAGAATTAGATAGGAGTATTAAGCAGAGAGAAGTCAAGCAGCCCCTCATTGCCATTCCTCGTGGATTTAAATTATTTGGTGGGGTTTTGGAATTTTGTCTCTGAAAAGCAGGTGGGAATTGAGAGCCATTTTGAATACAGTTCTGCCAGGCTTTTGTTAGTCTTTCAGAAGGTAAGTCCATGTTGTTAACAGCAGTATGGCACAGCAGTGGCACAGCAGGCTCGGGGTCTAGCAACAGCCTGAACCATGCAGGCTCATTGACCTGCTGGTCTCTGAGACCTGTGCTGCCAAAGGTACTTTTGGTACCTTGAAGAGACTGTTCAAATCTAGCTCATGCATCTCTGGGGTGTGATCAACTGAACAGTGCTAAATAAGCCCTTGTGGTAGTGGCATTGGATTCAGTGCTGTGTTTCTGTGTTGAAAACACATTATTAGCTGGGCTGGTGGGCTCAGACTGTGGCTTAAGGGACCTTAAAGCTCATCCAGTTCCAACTCCCTGCCACAGGCAGGGACACCTTCCACTAGACAGGATTGCTCGAAGCCCCAACACGTTCACAGGAGATCTCTTCTTACCTACTTCTGATAGTTTGAAACTTTTACGCACCTGAGTCTGGGAAATAGTCCTGGCTATTATGCCACTGTGACACAGTTTGCAGTGGTAAGTAGTCTGCTGTGTAGATACATGAGCAGTTTTCTTGATCTTCACTGCCCCTGCTTCCCACCCCACAATCCCAGTGACCCAGCCAGAGGCAGTAGTGCCAACTACAGGCTGCTGGCCGATTACAAGTTCAGCCACATATTTAGGTTTCACTGATAGATGACAGATGACTCAATTAACTAGACATTAAGATAAAAAAGTACTTAAAATTCCTGTTGTCAGCAAAGTTGTCATAAAAACTGGGAAATGTGGTGTAGGAGCCTTCCTCCGCAGTGACATAGGACATACTGCATTGTGCTCTCAACAATAAGTCGCTCTTGTAAGATACTATTGTCATGAAAGCTTCCAACTCCAGCTCTACAAAAAAAGCTTTTGGTCTGACAGGACATCTGGTATTCCTGATGGATTTTATAACATTTGGGAATTTGTTGGACATGTTTCAAATAAGTGGACGGAGTGAGCGTAGGAGTTCTGAGTTTTAGTAACAATTGCAGTGCAGTGGAGCATTTATTGGTTCATGTACTGTTCTCATGGAAATAAGGACACATCTCTATCTACTTCTCTTTCCTGTTTATCGGAGTTATCTGTGATGAAGTTTCAGTGAGCTTTCTTAGGTGGGAATCATCTCTCTTTCTGGAGAAGATATTAGGATGTCTCAGGCTACTGGGTACCATGGATTTAGCCTTTCCCCTTTTGCAGCAAAATAACCCCATGCCTGAAACAGCACCCCACACCAATTCCTATTTCTGGTATCCATGGCTGGCTGTGGCCTCCTTAAGGAACAACAGTGTATTGTTGTCATCGTTTGCTTTGTGCAGAGGTTGGTTTCCTTAAGAGTGCATTATGTGAAACGCTTGAGAAATCAGATGGGAAATCCAGCCTCACTCATTTGAGGAATGCTGTAGGATGGAAAACCTGTTAATGTTTATGGATAAGCACTGGTTTTCCTTCCATCTGTGTATCTGTGCTAGGAGGTAGCTGCTGCACCTTCACACACTGAAATCCTTACACAATCTTTGTAGTCTTTTTTTAAATCTTTTGGGGTTTTGTCTTCCCATTCAGCATAGGGAAGAGCCCCTCAAAGCACTTAGCAGAAGAGGGGAAGAAATGTGAATATTCTGCTAATTCAAAGGATCTTGTTTTACTGTATTTTTTTGAACCTGATTTTTCTTAGTCTAATGTGAGGCCATGCAGGGACCTGCAAGAAGCAGTAGCTCTTGACCAGTTAATGTTAAAATAATTTTAAAACCAACCACTTACTTGGTACCTGCAGTCTCCATTGCACTGGGTGAGCCTGTTTGCTGGTGTAAGTGCTCTTCATCCTTCTGGACAGAGGAAGTTCTTCCTCTCCTATAGGATGGTGTCCAAGGAACCTGGCACCTAGGAAGTCCCAGCTATTGAAACCCACTTAAACATAGTAGGATGTGACACAGCATCAACAATCGTCAGACCGATTTCTCCTTTGGCAACAGAAAAGACTCTTGACTATTCTTCCTTGTGAAAAACTGGTCAGACAGGAGTCACACAGAAAACCATGTGAGAACTGCTCAGCTCATGTTTAATGTAATTGTGAGCTGGAGTAGGAATACTCATCCCACATTTCCAGAATATATGTACTGTCCTAATTGTCATCTGAATTGGAGAATATGATTCAAACTTTATATCTGTTGTCAGAAGTGAGGTAGAATCAGCCATCATGAACCTGGTAGGAGAGTATGAATGAGCAGGTATGTGCTTATAGCAAGTGGCAGTGGGCAAGAGATGGGCTGCTCAGACTGCAGAGGACCTTGTTACTAAGCTTGGTAGGAATATAGAGAAGTAGGTGGCTCTCAGAATTTCATATTCCCAGGTGATGCAGCATGCTTTCATGTGACTTGTACTGGAGATAAAACACAACTTAAATGCATTTATTGATGATAGCAGCCCAGCAATCCTAAGGAACATTTTCAGCTTTACCAAAGGTGATAGATGCACAGGGGGAGGAGGAGGTAGTATTTCCAGTGCCAATAGCCTCTGACCTTAATCCAGCAGAATAAAAAGGGGGGAATTTCTAGGTTGAGCTGCAATGGGTTGCCACATGTAACCTACAAAATGGTTAATGTTAGACTGAAATGAGTGAGCTGCTTAAAGAATAACCCTGTTCTGGAGCATTGCTACTTTAGCATTATCCGCATATGGCACTGTGTTATGAAGGTGACTCTACACTCTTCTGAAAATATCTTAAGGAATTGCTATACTACAGAAGCCATATAGGAAGCCCTTTGACTTGGCATCCCTGCTAATGGGGACATACCTTATGGGGCAGCAGTCTGCAGGATGCCACCAAGCCCATACCCCTGCTCTATAAGGTCAGCATGGGGACTGGGAAATGCTGTGCTTGCAGTGTGAGTGTTGATGCTCAGAAGGCAGCTGTGCAGGGCCAGGAGGAGGGAACAGTGAGGTTGGTTGGTTTTTTATAAAGACACTGGACATTCATTTTTAAACATCTGGGATGAACATCTGATTAGGTACAGTCTGGGAATCCTATCATAGAGCCGGACATACAGAGTTCTCCATGGGAGTAAATACACACACTCATCTCCTAACAGCTTTTCCACATCAAATTGCCCTGGGATGACATTCTGTAACCTTGGCTTCCCCAGTAATTGAAGTCTTGATCCTAAAGACACCAAACATCTGTGCTTTGCATTCAAGTTGTGTGCTACAAATAGTCAATGATCAGTGTTCTCATCATGAGTCTTATTCCCAAATAATATTTGTTAAAGAAAAGTACTTATTACTAAAGGCAAAAAGAAAGAAAGGTCAAAAGACCCCATAGTGAGGTCTGGGGGTCAGAGAGGGAATGAGCTATGAGAATACTAGAGGAATGTATGAGGCTGTCATGTTAAAACATCTTTTAAATAAATCTTTAAGATTTTATCACTAAAACAGCTTTTCACTTAGGAATGGAAAGCAGTTATCTCTGGACAAGGCTGAGCTGGAAGGTTTTGCAAGTGTAATGATGATATCATTCTGTCTGGACGGGATTAAAAGAATCTGTTCTCCTTTGTTAATAAGCTGACAAACATCACCAAGATGTGGGATCATTAACCTTATTCCTTGAAAGCATGCAAGAAACAATAGAAACGGTCAAAGAATTGTCAAGTTCAGCATCAAATTTGCACCCAGGAGGCCTTCTATGCAAGTTCTACTCAATTGGGCTCAGGAGGATGGTAAAATAAAATCCAAATTGTACTCTCAGAAACGTAAAAGCCTGATCCAAGTCCACTGGAGTTGGTGGGAAGGCTTAGATTTCTGTCAGTGGGGGATGAGGCAGGTTTTGGATCATATTCTGCTTGAGCTGATCACACAGAGTTTGATTTATCTTTCCTCCTCTTTGATCACTCATTATTTCTTTCCATGCACTTTTTTGTTATATAACAGAATGGTGACAACCAACCTTCAGCTCAGGGGTTACACAGCATGG